TCTACTAGATGTGGCTTATGAGATATCATCCTAGAATCATTCTAAACCTTGTGCTCTGATTACCAAGTTTGTTACGACCCAGGGTACCCCCTAGATGTAACAAGGCACATAGAACCCCTAAAGGCTCCATGTAAGCCACTTAACATATCACAAGATAAGCAATAGAATTATAAGAGTACAAACGCATTTCAAGTCAAGTCTTAAATTTTCATAAAAGCAAAGCGGAAGTCTAGACTCTAAGTCTCAACATAGCCATCTATTACAATGTTCGAATGAGAAAAGGGGTACAACCCATACAACATAATCTGAAATGGAAATACAAAACATGAACGGCTAAAAGACAATATCCGTCCGCGAATCTTGAGGACTCACCAACAAGTTAGAAGAATGAGCGAATCCAAGTTTCTATCCACAATGATTAGTACCTTGAGAACTGGACCCTACACTTGGGAAAAGTGTAAGAAAAGCATGGGTAAGTACAAAATGTACCAAGTATGATAGCCACACACAAAAACATTGAAATCATGCTAAAAGGGACATTTTTAGTGGAATGCATGCAATTTACTAAATTAAAGCATCATTTTGAAGATAGTGGAAAAGCATAACTCATAAGCGTATTCAACATATGGATCATTATAACATAAGAGAACATACCATAATCACCCTCTAAGAATACTTGTTCAATGCATGAATAAGACCCCATAATCCCATCCATGCTAAGCAAAACTTCTTAAGTAACCATAGTTCATAATTCATATTCTAGTTGTGGGAATTTGCCTTAACCGACATAGACCATGTGAGCTAACATGGAATCCAGTGTGTACCCCACACCGAAAAAGGGTTGTTCTACTTGGCTAAGGTAGAACCATACTCTTAGCTTAGGTACATTCACTAGCTAAATACCTATGAGGGTGCATAGTTTATGGGATAAGGAGATTGCTACTAGAAACCCGCCCTTTCTAACAGGGGAGCTTCCATCTCAAGAGATCGCTTCTAAAAACTCAAACTTTATAACGGAAGAGCTTCCATCTCTAGGGATGGCAATGGGGCCGGGCAAATATATGGTGGGGCAAGGCAAGGGTTTAACAGGGCAAGATAGGGCACTACTTAAATGGGGAGGGGCAGGTCAAAGCTAGTATTTTTAGAATAATAAAAAGGCAGTGCAGGGATGGGTTGTGTTGGGCCAAATGGCCCATTATTTCAGCTGAGCTTTGGTTGATCCCAAAAGAAAAATAAAATAATGCAGATTAACATTATTTACTTGGACTTTAAAAAAAATGCAGATTAATATTGGTGACATTTAATTTTTTTTTCTCCTCTTTCATTTTCATATTTTATTGAATATACTTGGACTTTAAAAAATAATTAAGATGTAGGTATACAATAATGATTGATAATGATTTATTGAATGATTAAGTCACAGATACTTTATTAAAGTTATTATTTCTATTTTCTGCAGAAGAAATGCTAACAACAAAGATGTAGAACAAAATATATTGAATTTTATAATTTAACATAAAATTGCAGACTCCAGATCCCCCCCCCCCCATTTTTGGTTGATTTTCTAGAGATAGAATCTTTTTGGGTGTGTTTGTGTAGATGGAGGAAAGTTTGTTTTGGCCAATTTAAATAGTAGAATTTTTTTGTATTGACAGTTGTTCTCCTTTGCCATTAACAACAAGTATAAAGAATTAATAGAACATATAAAAAGTGCAATTTAAAACATAAACGAGGTAGGGATGGGTGGGTTACAACATTGAAAAAATTCTAAATGGGGCGGGGTAGGGCGGGTTGAAATCTTTGCGGGTCGAGGCTTGCCCCACCCTAACCCACCCCAACCCACCCTATTGCCATTCCTGTCCATCTCATATTCAATATCCACTCGGTGCTAAGAACTTATCCCACGTAGTACTTATTAAGTCATAACTTGCTTCATTAGGATAGCTCATTAGATCATGCGTGAGAATATCCTTTCACCGTCCATGTCTATGTATAGATTCAATAGGTGAGAAAGCATTTAAACCTTAGAATCATCATATAGTGGGAAAACCTTCCGCAGTATATCATATTCATGCATAAGTGTGTATATGATAATAACCTTTCAACAACACAACAATTAGATCATAATCATGTTCACTTTACTCTCAAAGTGTTCTTAAAGCATATACTAAACTTCATAATTCATGCATAATATCATAATTTGCCCTTTAAAGGACCATAGCTCATATTGCATCAATACATCTAGAATTCACTACATTAGACATGGATAGTTACATAATTCAAGTAGTTCAATTACTATAAGCATAGTCTCATAATATCCTTTTTTCATCAACACACCCACATCACAAGATCATAATTGAGAATATGGGGGTTTCATGGGTTCTTGGTGGGATGCTTCATAAAAACATTAGAAATCATCAATTCATTCATAATATAACATAATTAAAGCATAAAAATCGTTTTAGAAAGGAACCCATGACTTTGGAGTAAATCCCTACCTTTAAGGGATTTCTATCTTTGAAATTGGGGTTTTGAAGGGACTCCATGGATGAAGGACTACCATACCTTAGCATTGAATTCCAACAAATTTGAGAAGAAAACCTTGCTCCTTCAACTTCTTCCTTGAAGTTCTAGAGAGAGAATTTTTGGAGAGGAAATGAATTTTTGGGAAATATTTGGGTGTTTGGAAAATATTACTTAGTTTCGGTGAATTTGACTTAAATAGTGACCCTAAACTTACGTACAAGAAATTCACTTTGATTGGACATAAACTAGAATTTCCCAAAATACCCCTCACTTAAAGTGAGCTGCCAGGGACCATGTGGGGCTCCACGAGCCGTGGTCCCATCCGTGGTCTTGAGGCAATGGCAAAGCAACTTGTGCCTTTAGCTAACAAGCCCAAGGAAACCTCACAAGGGGCTCCACGAACCGTGGTCAAGACCACGAGCCGTGGTCCCTCTCGTGGGCCTTGAGGCAGTAGCTTTCCATTTCCCTCACCTTCCTCACACCTCCAAGGCATGACCAAAGCCACTCCCACGAGCTGTGAAGTGGCTCGTGTAGAGGATCCAATTTGGGGCAGCCTTAAGGAGGGTACTACCTCACCACCACGAGTAGCACCACGGGGCGTGGTGACCACCATGGGTTGTGAAGACCCTCGAGGTTATGCTGGGCAGTGGCTTGGCCAATATGGGAAGCCTTGGCCCCCTTACATTGGCCCTCACCTATTTCCTTTGGCCCTTACCCTTCTCCCTTGATGTTAACCCTCACGTTTAGCTCTAGTTTAGTGTACTAGTTTCCAAGGTGTTACATACTCCCAACTGGAATGTGTATAAACAACATAACTGACATACCGGATAGCTTAATGTTCTGACATGCAAATCTAAGAATGCAAAATTTTAATACAGACAATGGAACATTCTTAACTAGAGCATGTATATCTGTTTAAACTGACCTAGCAAGTGTATTTCATGCATTAAACAAATCTACACAACTAGGGTTCTCAGTTTCATGCAAGGAACTAAGCAACAATGTTGCAAAAGCATGATAATCTAATTAGGAATACTATGACAACTAATTCACAAAAATTCTGCAATGTTTGAGAAACCCTGGGACTAAACAAGATATAGAGAATCAGGAATCTGACTGAATTATAGGGACCTAGTTGAAGAAAGGAATCTACTAGTGAAATCGCACATACCTGGTGATGAAATTCATGGAGAAATCCTTTGGATTTCGAGGCTGAAACTTGAAGAACACCGCTGCCTGTTCTTGAAAGAAACTGGTGCCTCTTTCTCCTCTTTTCGTTCTAATTGGATGCTATTTGGAGATTAAGAGTTATGGGTATGTTGGACTAGGTTATTAGGCTTATTATGAGTAAAACGACATACTTTAGGCATCAAATAACGTAGTTTAAGTGCCCAACACATAAGGGAAAGGACTAAAAGGACCCTGACTTAATTCTGGTGAAGCCCATCCATGGAGGGAACGACGGTCCGTCATTTGACCTAGCGGCCGTCGTTTGGATTCGTCGTTCATGATCTACCCGACATGGCTTCACTAAACGAGCATAACATTTTACTCGCATATGAGATTTTAGCAAACTCGGTGGCATTGGAAAGATGATTAAATTATCTATCATTTGGTAGGTCATGGGCCATCTAATTCCTTTTGTGCTAAGGGTTATGATCATTTAAAGTTGATCCAACATTAATTTCCCTCTAATTGGCTACTGATCCTCACCTACCGTCCATATGTCCAACCACGAACCATACCGGTCAACCGTGGGTGGGATCAGAGACCATAAATATTTGGTGCTCAACGATGGACCCCACCTATGAACCACGTATCTGACCACAGACAGTCGGTGGCTTTCATGGTTCTTGCATTAGGTCTGGAAAGCTGCAATTGTTTTTCTCAAATCTGAGGTGTTATTGTAGCACTTGATTTAATGTTGCGGCACGAGGCATACACCTTTATTACTCAGACTTCATCAAGGCCCCACTCCTCTATTACCTCATTGACACTCTCAGATTGCCCCAAGTAGATCTTTATCCTTTGACCGTTCACCTTGAACTTCCTTCCTTTCTTGTTCTCATGTTCAACCGCTCAATGTGGAAATTCTTGGGTAACTTTGAATGGTCCGGTCCACTTAGACTTGAGTTTGCCATGAAATAAGCGCTACCTTAAGTTAAATAATAGCACTTGATCACCGGAAGTAAATTCACACTTTCTGATCTACAATCATGGTACTTCTTCATCTTCTCCTTGAATAAGAATGAACTTTCATATGCTTTTAGATGAAACTCATCAAGCTCATTCATTGTTTGGCTCGATGCGACGCAGCAATCCAAATTTAGTTTCTTGAGTGCCCACATCGCTTTATGCTCTAGCTCTACAGACAGATGACAAGACTTCTCATATACAAGGCTATAGGGGGACATACCAATGGGATTTTTTAATGCAGTGCAATAACCCCATATAGCATCATCAAGCCTTCTTGATCAATCAATTGTGTTAGCATTCACGGTCTTTGCAAGGATTTGCTTTATCTCGCGATTTGACACTTCAACTTGCGCACTTGACTGCGGATGATAAAGGTTTGCTACGCTATGACAAACACCACGCTTCTCAAGCAGCGCCTTGAACAACTTATTACAAAAGGGGGAACCTCCATCATTTATTATTGCCCTTGGTGTACCAAATTGGGAGAAGATATTCTTTTTCAGGAACGCGGGGACACTCTTTCCCTCATTGTTTGAAAGCGTGACTGCTTCCACCAATTTCGACACATAGTCAACTGCCACAAGAATGTACTTCATCCCATTAGAACTCACAAATAGACCCACGAAGTCAAGACCCCAAACAAAAAAAAAGTTCAATCCCGAGTATTGGGTTTATTGGTAGTTCTTGCTTCTTCGAAATCCCTCGTTCACGCTGGCATTGATCACAAGACTTGGTGAAATAATGAGCATCTTGGTGGATCGTAGGACAGTAATACCCACACTGCAAAATTTATAGGCAGTCCGGATACCACTTTGGTGCCCACCAACAGGCGACGAATGACACGTCTCTAGTATACTCATCATCTCAAGCTCGGGCACACAGTCACGAATAATCCCATCAGCACAAACACGAAACAAGAAAGGCTCTTCCCAAAAGAATTTCTTCACATCAAACATAAATATATTCCTTTGGTGGAATGATATATCCGATGACATCAAAATCACTTGCCAAATAGTTAGCAAAGTCTGCGAACTAAGGGATAAGATCATAAGAAGCAGCCAACACCTGCTCATTAGGGAACACATCTCTTATCTCAATTCCATCTTCTAGCTTGATCGTAGCTACCTCTTCTAGTCTGGACAAGTGATCAACAACTTGATTTTCTGTTTCCTTTCTATCTTTCATCTCAAAATTGAAGAAAAAGTACCCATCTAATCAACCTTGGTTTTGCATCCTTCTTAGCCATCAAATACCTTAATGAAGAATGATCACTATGTACTATGAATTTTATACCAAGCAAATAAGATCTAAATTTTTTGAATGCGATACCACAACAAGCAGTTCCTGTTCAGTCATAGTATAGTTCTTTTGAGGCACATTAAGAGCTTTGCTGGCATAGTAAATCGGATGAAGAATTTTCTCTTGCCTTAGTCCTAATACTACTCTGAGCGGCACCCCACTTGCATCACACATCACTTAAAATGGTTGTCCCCAATCCGGTGAAATAATGATAGGTGCCGAAGTTAACTTTTCTTTCAACTCTCCAAATGGTTTTAAACAAGCATCATCAAAATCAAACTTATATTCCTTCTCAATTAACTTGCACAATGGATGTGCAATTTTAGAGAAATCATTTATGAACCTCCGGTAGAAACCTGCATACCCAAGAAAGCTTCTAACACCTTTTATAGAGATGGGTGGTGGAAGTTTTTCTATTACCTCAACTTTAGCTCTATCAACCTTAATACCTTTATGCGAAATCTGATGACTAGAACTATACCCTCTTTGACCATAAAGTGGCACTTCATCTAGTTGAGCACAAGATTGCACTCTTCGTACTGTTTTAGTACCTCAACCAAATGTGTCAAACAATCATCAAACGAGTCACCTACTACAGAGAAATCATCCATAAATACCTCTATTGTGTCCTCCACCATATCTAAAAATATCGACATCCTACAACGCTAGAAAGTCGTTGGAGCATTACATAACCCAAATAACATCCTTTTGAAGGCGAAAGTTGATACGTCCAAACTTACACCTCAATTAAGAAGTATAAATGGTTGAAGTCAATTTATAGAACTCAACATGAGTTAAGGTCGATCCTATAGAGAATTTCTTTATAGAAATTATTTCACTGTCTCGTTTACCCAAATGTTGTTATTATTTCTTAAAGAAAACAATTATGGACTGTAAATTGGGTTTAGTTATAAATTTCTAGTAACTAAGATTGTTAAGCAAAATCTAGATTAACAATTAACATAGTATTAATTCTAATGTTGTTTCGATAATTAAATAAAACTAGGACTGTGTTCCCTATAACGTTGTATCTAGTGTTTTTCTGTAAATGAGTTTCAGGCAATTAATCTCTGTAAAATACAGGCGAGTAAGATATACCTAACACTTCTCAGTCTAATTAGATAACTTTCACTGAAGCCCTCTCGGTCCTAGAGTGTTGATAAGTTTTACTTTCTCTTACAATAATGTTAAAGTTCTTTTCTCTCGAACTCAAACTTTGACTCCATTTCTTCAGGTTAATTCAGCTTTTTCCCAACTATCATTTTTCTCTCGAACAAATGATAGATACATGCTAACTCTAATTGATGCATATTTAAACATAATTCAACCATTAAGATTAATAATCAAAAGAACCCATGATGTTTGAGGAAAACCCTAGCTAATTAGGGAATTCTACCATTTGAAATAGAGGAATTTATGGATTCCATGGGTGGAAGGAACCTATGGATGAAAGCTACAATACATCAAGTCCAATTGCCTTACTTCAATGGAGAATTTGGATCCTTAGCTTGAAACCATAGGTGCAATCTTCTTTTTCTTCTTCAAGTTCTAGAGAGAGAATATTTGAGAGGAGTTGGTTTTCTTTTGAGAATTAAAATGGGTCTAATTTGGGGTAAAAAGAATTATATAGTGTTCTTAATGTAGTCAAAACGACATAGTATAGGAATTCGTTAATCAGGAAAAGACCCAACTAACCCCAAAACTAACTTCCAAGCGGACCACCGACGGACCCCAGTCGACGGACCATGGTCTGACATATAGTCTGTCCTGGTGAACCGTCATTGGTCCTCAGAGACCATGATTTGGGGGGTCGAACCATGGACCGTGGTCTGAATTACAGTCCGTAGGTCGAGTCATGGTCCTGGACCTCTGAACTTAAGCAGGATGGCCAACCCACGGACACTACCTATAGTCTGTGGGTCCTCCTACAGACAATCTGTGGTCCTTGTGGGTGGCACCTGCACGTTCTGAAATTTTTGGTTCATTACCCCTTTTTGGTTATTGGGTGTTACAATATCTCCCCCTTGGAACCATTCGTCCTCGAAAAAAGATTTAAATTGGTCCTAAAAGAGTAGGAGAGGAACTAACAACATAACCCTGCAACGCAATGCACATAAAATAAGGAGGAAACATCAACTCCAAACTCATCATACTTAAATGCATAAAAAGGAAGTAGGAACCACATCTAGCAACCCTATATGCATGAAATTTTCAGATTTCTCATATTCAAGGAGGAACTACCTTTTCCAAGCTAAAAAAAATGCTCAACACAAACTCATTGAGCCTTTATGCAACTCATTCACAAAGAACATAGCTAATGCATGTTCAACAATCATCTCATGAAGTCTATAGGCAACTCATACTCGAGGCACAACAACATGACGAAAATAAACCATATAATTCATATCTTTCAAAACATAAACTTTTTCATGAACATGCATAATCAGAAGGAAATCATGGAAACACATAAATCAGACATGACTCCCAACACTTATAACTAACAAAGAGGGACTCATTACCTCAAGCTAGAGTAGGAGTAGAAGGAAAGAGATGAGGATATTGGGACTTCATTTCGGCCTCGGCCTCCCAAGTAGGCCCCTCAATTAAATGATTCCTCCATACCACCCTCACGGAAACAACTTCCTTGTTTCTTAACTTTTTGACTTGTCAATCTAAAATGTCAACCGATACCTCCTCATAAGCAAGATTCTCTTTAACCTTCAAACCCTCTAAGGAAACTATGGATGTTAGATCCCCAACACATTTCTTCAACATAGAGACATGGAAAACCGGATGCACTGATGCCAACTCATTTGGCAAATTTAGCTCATATGCAACCTTGCCAACACGCCTCAAAATCTCATATAGGCCTACAAAACAGGGACTAAGCTTCCCTTTTGGAATGACTTCCAAAACTGTGAAGTAAATTGGGTACCTCGATCGGAAATTATGGACAAGGGTACTCCATGTAACCTTACCATCTCGCTCAAATACAACTTAGCATAATCTTCCGCCGAATAGGAAACCTTGACGGGAATGAAATGAGTAGATTTAGTAAGCCGATCCACTATTACCCAAATCGAGTCATGTTAACGCTGGGTACGTGCCAACCCTACAATAAAGTCCATATTCACATCTTCACACTTCAAAGTAAGAAAATCAATGTCTTGGCATAAGCCTCCTGGTTTCTGATGTTCAACCTTCACTTGTTGACAATTAGGGCATTTAGACACAAATCCGGCAATATCCTTCTTCATCTCATTCCACTAATAGATCTCCCGCAAATCACTGTACATCTTGGTGGCTGCCGGGTGAATAGAATATCGTGAACTATAAGCTTTTACCAAAATATGTTACCTCAAGTCATCAACATTTGGAACACATAACCGACCTTGGTATCTAAGTACCCCATCTCCCCCTTGGGAGAAAGCCTCAACGAACTTTTTGAGTATAGCCTCTTTTAATTATACCAAAATTGGATCAAGACTTCACTTAGCCTTCACATCCATCACAAAAGAAGATTCGGGCCCATTATGAACCTTAACACCACCCTTGGTGGAATCCACTAGTCGAACACCTAATCGACTTAACCTATGGACATCTCGGACTAACTCTTTATTTGTATCCTCCAAATGAGCAACACTACTCATTGATAGTTGACTAAGAGCATCTGCTACCATATATGATTTATCAGGGTGATAAAGGAAATGCATGTCATAATCCTTCAATAGTTCTAGCCACCTTCTCTGGCAAAGATTCAAGTCCTTTTGACTAAGCAGATATTGCAAGCTCTTACGATCGGTGAAAACATCAACATGAACCACATACAAATAGTGCCTTCATATCTTTAAGGAAAAAACAACCGCCGCTAACTCAAGGCCATGGGTAGGATAATTCTTCTAATGGATCTTAAGTTTCCTTGAACCATAGGCAATAACCGTACAATTTTGAATAAGCACACATCCCAACCCAACTCTAGAGGCATCAAATACACCACAAAGCCATCCGTACCTTCTGATAAGGTCAACACCGGAGCAAACGTAAGTCTATCTTTAAAATCTTGGAAGCTTTTCTCAGAAGCTTCTAACCATATGAATTTGGCCTTGTTTTGAGTCAAAGTCGTCAAAGGAAAAGCAATGGAGGAAAAACCCTCAACAAATCTTCTAAGTAACCGGCCAAACCCAAAAATCTTCTAATATCGGAAGGTGTTAGAGGTCTAGGCCAACTCTTGACCGCATCCGTCTTGATAGGATCTACCTCAATACCCTGATTGACACAATATGCCTAAGAAAATCTACGGACCTTAGCGACTATTCATATTTGCTAAACATTGCAAAAAGTTGTTGGTCCTTCAGAATATGCAACACAATCCACAAATGATCAATATGTTGTTCCTCACTTTTCGAATAAATCAAAATATCATCAATAAACACAATTACGAACATATCAAGGTATTGTCTAAATGCCCTATTCATCAAATCTACAAACGTCGTCGAAGCATTAGCCAATCCAAATGACATTACCAAAAATCATAATTACCATACCGAGTTCGGAAAGCCATCTACAGAATGTCTTCATCTTTCACCCTCATTGGTGATAACCCGAATGAAGATTACTTTTAGAGAAATAACTAACCACTTGAAGTTGGTCAAACAAGTCATCAATCCTTGGAAAAGGATACTTATTCTTGATAGTCATTTTGTTCAAATGTCTATAGTCGATGCTCATACGAATGGAACCATCTTTCTTCCTCATGAACAAAACCGAAGCACCATAGAGAGATACTTGATCGAATAAAGCCCTTATCCAACAAATCCTTTAATTGATCCTTTTAACTCCTTAAATTCTACCAAACCAATTCTATAAGGAGGAATAGAGCTAGGTTGTGTATCTCGGAGAAGGTTAATACCGAAGTCTATTTCCCGCTCGAGAGAAATACCCGGCAAATCACAGGGGAAAAATTTCGGAAACTCTTTAACTACGGAGACCGAATCAATAGTAGGGGTTTTCAGAATCTACATCCGTCACCCAAACAAGATGGTAAATGCACCCTTTCGAAATCATCTTTCTAGATTTTAGAAAAGACACAAATTGACCTCTAGGCATGAAATTTCCCCCTTCCACTCAAGGATAGGCTCATTTAGAAACTGAAATCTAACCACTTGAGTCCTACA